GGGGCGCTCCTGGTGCTGCGGGACCCCCGGTGCTGCCTGTGGGACCCCCGGGACCCCCAGCCCTGCCTGGGGCGCTCCTGGTGCTGCGGGACCCCCGGTGCTGCCTGTGGGACCCCCGAGACTGTAGAACCTTCGGGTTCCTCACAACTCCTTGCACTATAGGACCCGCGGGTGCCAACAGGACCCCCAGAGCTGCCTGCGGGACCCCTGGCACTGCAGGAGCCCTGGTGCTGTGCCAGGTGTGGGATCCTGTCCTGGACACCCCCCCGCGTCCATCAGGGGGGGACTGGGGCGCGCCCCCCCCGGGGTGGGCAATGCCAGCGTTGTCCCCATTTCCCAGAGGGGCCCCAGCGTCTCCAGCAGCACCGGTGCAGAGACACACACGGTCTCCATGGAGACCAGCTCCCCTAATCCTGCTCAAAACGATGCCGATTTTGGGCAGGCCCGAGGGGGCATCGCGGGGCTCCACATTCCAGCACCAGCTGCCTGAACCCCCCTTCCCCAGGCCTGTCCATCCCAGAGCTCTGGGGGCTGCTCCGTGGCCAGGGCTCCCCACGCAGCAGTGCCGGCTGAGTCACAGCAATGCTCATTTACACAGTGACTAATGAACCCCACACGGGGCTGAGCTGGCAGGGGCTCCCCAAAATCCCTGCACGGCCCCCAAAACACAGCTGGGCCACCCTAAATATCCTCTGAAACCCTCTGCAAGCAAGAGATGACAAAAGCCCCCCAAATCCCTTGGCAGGGTGAGCAGGGATCCGGGGGGCAGGGATGCCAAGTGGGGTGCCAGAGCCCTGGAGCAGCCCCCTGTGTCCTTTGTCCCCAAACTGGAGTCAGCTGGGCTCTGCTCAGTCACATATGGCCAAGTGGCACTGCCAATTCCAGCACGGAAAAAGCACTGGTGCCTTGAAATGTACCCCATTGGGATGGCAGATGCTGCCCCCAGGATTGTCCCCCAAGATTCGGGGACATTTGTCCCTTCAGGATTGGTCTCAGGATTGGTCTCAGGATTGTTCCCCAGGATTTGGGGAAAACTGCCCCCCACCAGGGTCCAGAAATCCCTGAGGACTCCTCTATGACAAAGATTGCATCCCAGGATTGTCCCCAGGGATTGTCCCCAGGATTGTCCCCAGGATCGTCCCCTGGGATTGTCCTCTGGGATTGTCCCCCAGCATCCACACAGGATTGAATGGGCAGAGCAAGCAAACTCCTTGGTGCTGCTCCCCCTCTGCCCACATCCCGCAGCCACTGATCCCTTCCCGAGGGACATGCGGTGTCCCCAAGGTCTGGTGGGTGTCCCCCGGGCTGGTGGGTGTCCCCAAGGTCTGGTGGGTGTCCCCCGGGCTGGTTAATGTCCCCAGGGCCTGGTGGGTGTCCCCAAGGTCTGGTGGGTGTCCCCAGGGCTGGTGGGTGTCCCCAAGGTCTGGTGGGTGTCCCCAAGGTCTGGTGGGTGTCCCCAGGGCTGGTGGGTGTCCCTGGGGATGCTCCTCTCCCCCAGGGACAGGCCCCAGGCAGAACAAGTTGGCACCATCCGGGTGCTGCTCTGCCTTGCCAGGCCAGTCTCCGGTGCTTCATCCAAAAAAATCCCACTAGCATCAATTCCCCCATGATTTCTCCTGCTGAACCAGAAGTGAAAACTCTGCCAGGGAGGGGATGCACCCCAACCTGGTGACAGTGACAGCAGGGGACCCCTGGCTCCGCAGTCAGCTCGCCCTGCCCTACCTGCTCCCGACAGCCCAGTACTTTTCCAGCTATGGATACCATATGCTCTGTCCCCATCCCATCAAATCCCAGCTCCAGCTCGCCTTTGAGCCTGAGCCAATGGCCCTGAGTCCACCTGTCTTGAACTAATTCTGTTTGGGGACGCCGTGTTCCGTGGATTTTCTATAGATCCCAGCCACAATGCCCAGCTGGGCAGCGGCCGCTTGTTTGGGGCAGCCCTACCCAAAACAAACCGGGGGACACTGCCAGGGCTGGGCTCCCCCAGCCCACAGCACCATCCCTGCCTGCCTTTCCCCCCATTCCATTACAATCCAAAGGAATCTCGTGTTTTCTAGCTGGAAAATAAAGCACAGAGCGGGAAGGAAGTGCTGTTCGCGCCTCACACCAGCGACAGCTCCAAAATCTCCCCCTTTCATCTCCATGTGGCCACTTCAAAGCCCCCAGCCAGGGAAACATTTGCCTCCCTTGGCTTGGCCCGGGCCCGTGGGTGGAGAGAAGAATTTGGTGTTGAATGTTACAGCCCTGTGAGCTCGGGACATGTCCCGGCGTCAGGAGACACCCGGCCCCGGGAGCACAGCCAGGCTGTGCCATGGGAACTCGCCCGCCCGGGGAGGAGGCTTGGGAGGGTCTCCTTGGGTCAAAGCCACAGAGGTGCTTGGGAGCAGGGTCCTTCCCCTTCCCCGAGAGGCAGCTGGTCCCTTCCCAGCTCGCTGTAGCACTGGACGGTGTCACTGTCACACAATTTGTCTTGCTGGCTTCCTCCAGGGACAAAAACATAAGGAAAATGACATGGTTTTGTCTTTGGATGGTGGGTTTGACCCAGGGAGAACAACCCCAAAGTCATAGCACCCTGCATGATCCCAGTCCCACCCCATCCAGCCCTTTCCTTGTGGGATGCACTCCAGCCTCATCCCACTCCTGAAGAGGAACCTGCAGAAAAGGCTGAAAATAGCAATTCCATCGAGGAACACGACCCCCCTCGGCTGCTCCATCAGCTCAGGGAGGCACAGAGGGACAGAAAGCTGGGCATTATTCCCAGCTGGGAATTTTTCCCTGGGATGGGGATGCTCCTGGCTGCCCTTCCCAGCCAGGTGCCTGCAGGTGAGCAGCTGCTGAGCTGACTCAGGGCTCGGGCTGCTATTCCTGGCTCACCACTGACTCATCACCTTGGGCAAATCGCATCCCTTTTCCATTTTGTTTCAGCCACTTCAGTGGGAAAAGAGCTCCCGAGCCAGGGGGGCACATGCAGCCCGAGCCCAGACTCAGCACAAACATTCCAAGCTCTCCTCCCAGCATCCCTCCCTGGGGGTGGAAGGATGCAGCCAGTGCTGGGAAAGAAGAGGATGCAGCTCCCATGGAGGCTGGCAGGGAGGGAGGGATGTGAGGAGCTGCATCCATCTGGGACCAGCTTTAGTCCAGCCTACGGGAGATGCATCAGCTTTGTTATGACGCTGCCTTTTTGGGTGTTAAAAACGGGATTTCACTCGGTTTTCCCAACAAATTCCTCACCTGAAGAGAGGCAGGGCAGATAGACGGGAAAGAAAGCAGAGGATTCCCAAGGAAGAAGAGGGATGTGGATGGAGAGTGTCACAAACAGCCCCAGAAGTGACACTTGCTGCTCCCCACTCGCATCTCCGGGCACTCCGAGCACACCTATCCCAACGTCCTCCTCACCCCAAATTCCACGGGAATCGGGACACAAACGGAGTGAGGAGAAGCCAGAGAGGCAAAGCTGCTCTCTGAGGAAACTCCCGGATCAAAAACCCCACAGAGGGCAGAGAACATTCCGGTTTCAAGCTCTCACCCACGGAGGGGGTCCGCAGGGGGAAAGGGCCAGCGAGACTCTGCGGTGGCTCCGGGAATTCTGGTTATTCCGGGCTGGAACAGGGAGCCCCGCGCCCGATCGCTAAGGGAACAGCAGGAACAGCATCCCCAGCACCCACCCTGCGGCGCAGGGAGCATCGGCACCATCTGGTAGGTGAATCAGCCTGCAGACAACTCGCTGGCAGCTCCGCAGAGAGGCCCCCCCAAGTCGGAGGTGAGATGGAACACGTGCTCCCGGCACCTCCCGGCAGCCCCCCCGCAG